TCCAAATCTACAATGAACAATACATTGCATAAGTTATAATTAAATGATTCGAAAGGGGTTATTCTATTTCTTTCTTTCGTTTGTAACAAATTTATAACCAACCGATTTTATGTTATCGATAGTAAATAGTTATTTTAACACTGGTTTAAATGTCTAAACATACAAAAACACTCCGATTTTAAACAGGTACTCTGAAGAATTTGATCGTAAAAACAATTTAAGCCACAAGACAAGAATTTGATTCACAAGTGCTCTCTGTACGCAGATATGACTAGATTCTAATAATGATATGAAATTAAGACATGTACAAGAAAAAAAAATCAAACTTTCACAAAAAATAGTAAACAGTATATCATTAGACTTCGACAATGTAAAACAAAAAACAAGGTAAAGTTCTTAAATGTACCTCTTATTTACTGTGGTTAAATTGGAAAATTGATAAGTCTAAATTGACTACTTGACCACATCTAATTGAACATGTGACTACAGATATTTCATGAAAAAAACATTTTGTTTAACCAATAATTTCACGAAAAAGACATAATTTAAAAATGTATTAAATTAACCAATAATTTCACGAAAAAGACATAATTTAAAAATGTATTAAATTAAATAATTCATGTTTTCTTAAGGTCCGTCTACATTTAAAACAAACTGATATATGAAGTACTTTTGATAAACAAATTAATAAGTTTGAAGTGTTCAATGCAAGATAGGTGCAAATTGACTTAAACGCTAAATTGAATTACAAAATTAAATTTATTTTAAAAACGTAGCTATTAAGTAGACAACTTAACTTACAAAAATGAGGATGACTCATAACAGGTGTTTTATAACGTAAAATAGGATGTATGATCCGAAAAATGATTGAAAAAAATTATATTAAAAATTATATACAAGCAAACAAAAATTATAAATGAACAAAACACTTAATATACATGTTGCTCACAAGTGACTTTTTTGTGAAGTAAAGATCTTTTACAATATTATTTATTTAAACAACAGAATCGATAGACCCACATGATCCAGTCGTTGCCCAAGTTGATTTACAAATACAAATGATTAATCTAAAATTACACAATCTGATATCTAAACCAGACGTACGTCTCTATCGAGACTGAAGCTCTACTGATTTGTACTTATAGCAAATGAAGAGAAAAGTACTGAAGCAGTTGGGAATTGAAACTCTACAACAGCAATAAATAGAAAAAAAATATTGAAAAAGTCTCTTTATGTTCTTAGTGTAGTCTACTTGCATGTCACATTGTATTATAATCAGACTAAAACTGTATTTGGAGTAGCATTTTGAGAGAATTTAACAGAAATTCCATTTACAGTAACTCAATTCCTCCCCCACCCCTCTCTCTCTCATTTTGGCATTAAATTCTTAGAGGGTAATAATCTTTTTGTAAAGTCAAATATTGCGTCTAATACTGTTTTAAAAACATGACACGAAAAGAACCCTAGTATATGCATGCCAAATTACATATAAAATTGAGGTAAAAACTTAACCAGCAATAAACTATTCAGTACTAGATTATTTGCTTAGATCAAAGGAATACATTAATGTTGATCATGACAAGGCTATCTAAGGCATGAAATATTTTAAATCTGTATCTGATCTGTTCAAGCGACACCTTGTGTTAAAATTCCCACTTTGTATCGCGAAAAAATTAGCCAGATTCAATCGATCAGTATTATATTATACAATTATGAAATATAAAAAAAATATTAGAACTAGAAAAGATCTCGAGAAAGGAGAGGTCTTCCGTCCGATTCAGAAAAAAAACCCGAAAAATCGAGCTGAAAAAGTTAAAAAAAAATGGACACAAGGGGTATAGAACCCTACTCGACAGCATGAAAATCCAACGCGCTAAATATTACACTTTTAGAACCACTGCTCTAAAATTAATCTACTTGTACATACTTCTGCAACAGTGCATCTGTCTAATCATGAAAGCATTTGGTGCGAAATTATAAATAGTGACCCACTATTTATAATTTCGCGCCAAATGCCACAAGTTAATCTTCACGCCTTATCTTTGGAATGTTCTATTCAATAGGTGTGATAGCTTGAATGAAATTAAAAGACAGAACATTATCATATCCTTAATTTCGAGGTGTAGAAAGTATATTTAATACATATAACACATTCCATATCGTATATAAGTAAGTAATACTAATGCACTGAAACAGCTATGAATTTCTAACTTTTTAAAATTTCCTGTTTATCCAAAAAGTGGACTATCCCGATTTTACACTTTCATGAAAAGGTTGGAACGCTTCGCCGGAAAACATGCCTCGCCCTACGACGGTCAAGGAATCAGATACCATTTATGGTCAATAACTTGCATCAGATCTTGAGAAAAAATGTTTATATAAATTTCATTAAGCGATCTTTTAAAGGTACTTGGACACAGATTTGAAGTTATTATTTTCTCTATAATATTACGACTTATATATTTAAATAGCATTTCACACAAAAATTAATTAAAAATCTTATTTCATATAAAAGATATTAATATTTCAAATTTTTTGGCGGGTTTGATTGACACATCCTTGCACCTTTACAAATTAATTTTATTTTTAATCCTTAGGAAAAGTGGCAATCTCGTTGTGTATAAATAAAAAATATCAATACTATAATCCAGAAAATTCAGAGTAGACATGTTCGAAAGCAAAACAAACACACAATATATTGTCAGCCCGTGCAGTAGTGGTAAGCAGACTGCGACGATTTAGAACGCACCCGGCGAATTCTAAACATAAACAAAAACAGAACTCTTGCCCTGTTTACAAAAACTGTGTACATAACACGAGTGTGATCGATTTGCACACAACACTTAGCTTGGAATGACGATACTTGTGAAGGAGTTTTGCTTTCTAACATCTCTACTCTGAATAAAATTATTTTTCTGGATAAAAGTTTTAATATTTCTCATTAATACACAACAAGATTGCCACTTTTCCTATGGATTAAGAATAAGGTTAAAATTTGTGAAAGTGCAAGCATGTGTCAATCAAACCCGCCTAAAAATTAGAAGTTTAAATAACTTTTAAACGAAATAAGATTTTTAATTAATTTTTGTGTGAAATGCTATTAAAATATATGTCCTAATATTATAGAGAAAATATTAACTTGAAACCTTTAAAAAATGGTAACATTATTTTTATCTCTTCTAGTAGATTAACATGACACAAGTGTGCATAGGAAAAACAGAAGTTACCTTTAATAATTACTATATATATTGTTTCTTGAAAAGCTATTACTTATAACCATGTTTTAAAATCTGGTTTTTTTTCTATGCTGGAAAACAATAGGTTGTCGATATCGTATTTCATTTGTACACGTAGTCTTTTCTTTTTTGAGAACCGGCCAAAACCAAGTATAGATGGCGTTTGAGAAGACCTTTGATTAAAACTTAATTTGACAAAGAATTGCAACGTAACTACGTGAAAATCCATGTATTCTTTCGCATTTCATTTATACTTTTACATGTATTGGTTTCGTTAAAAAAACGCTCGGCTTTCTCTGTAAACATTTTTAAATGTTATTATCTAGAATTCGGATTTCTCAACTTTTAAACAAATGATATAATAACCATTATTAGAAGAGTTTCTATTAACCTTACAAATATAATTTTACGAAAATATCGAAAACCAAAAAACGTACAAAATTGAACTTTTTAAATTTACATCTGGTAACGACCAGACGTACTGACCCGAACGAGATGTTGTGTCCTGAATAGCTTATACCACGATCTATAATCCCTGAAAGTTTTACATTAGCATCGTTTACTGTCTTGCGATTATCCGCGGTCAAAATGTCATTTTAAATTCAGAAAATGGTCTGTTATTAGGCACCGGAAGTGAATTTCCAAAAAATCTCTTGGATAATTTTGGGAAAAACATAATAAAAAGAACAAGATAAGATTTCGTTGCGAGCAACGAGTAGGTCTTCCATTCGATTTTATGATAAGATCTTGATTGGGAGAGTGTGACTGATAAAAAAATAAAACAACTTTAAATGAAAAAAGAATGTTCATATCAATTTGCCAAAATACGTAACACACTTTAAAGAGTAAAATATTTCAATTCAAAACAGTTTCCTGTCTTTTTATTCACTTTAAGTATTACTGGATGTACTCAAAATGATCTTTAACTCCTCTCGGATTGTGAAGGAATCATCACTGATAATTTGGAGGAAAATGTTCATATTTTGGACAGCTTTCGGTTTGGAAGTAATGACTTCCCGAGGAAATACATGTTATATGACTCGAAAAACTCTATTTTCCTCGATAAAAATATTTTTAAAAGAAAAAAAATAATTTTTGCATATTTTTAAAAGTACTCCCGGTGGACAACGGTCACGGCAATGAAAACTTTATATGCTTCTGAATTCTACGATTCATAATCTATCATCCCTGAAAATCTCAAGACTCAATCTCTCTAACTCTTTTTAGAACAAAAAAAAAAAAAAAAGAAAGAAAATTGACCAAACTGGCGACCTGAAGTGACGACGTTAAAATTAAAAAAAAAAACGCATAAAGTTCTTATAATTTATCATCATTGCTGAAAGTTTCTGGAAATTCTATCAAGGCGTTCTCGAGAAATCGTCTGCACAAAATTGGTAAGAAAAAATAATAATAGTGGAAAAGAAACAACAGAATCAGTAGAAGGTCCTACGTTGGAAACGAAAGACCTAAATAATAAGAGACAGTAGAATCACTTTAAGGTCTTCCGTAAAGACGAAAGACCTCAATAAATAAAATAGGAGTTTATTTAAAAGTTTTGAAACTGATTAAAGCAAAGATCAAATAAAAAAATAGGCATGTGGTTTGTAAATGATAAAGAAGTATATATCTACAATTTATGCTTCGATAAGCAATCAATTGCTTTAATAAAGTATTCGAAAGATGAATTAAACCGATTTTTGTGCTTCTACTCTTCGCTTCTTGAAATTTTCCTCATGTTTACACTTCTTCATTAACTTCATCAGTTTAGAGTTTTCCTTCATAAACATGTGGTTCATAATCATGTAATTCTATTGGTTCATACATATCCCCATCATCGCTGCCATCAGGGGCATTCGAAGAGATTTGGCCGCCAGACGATATTTGATTCTTGTGCGCATGCGAGACAGGGTTGTTTCCGACTGATTTGTATCCATTTGCTTTTGGCATGTTAGATTTATCCGCAGCAGCATTCAAACTGAAATGTAGGTCATCAAGAGGGTATATACGTATATGTTATAATATGATTCAGGATAGGAAAGTTGATATTTTAAACCAGAGTAAAAATGAAGTAATCTAAACGTCAAATCTGAAAAATAAATTGACTAACGCGTAACCTTTTTATGAAAAAAGTAAAAAAAAAATTGCTCAAGTTTTTTGCAATGGAAATAAATTAACACTTTCTCGATTTTCGTGTTCCCTTAGCTTGTATTAATAAAAAAAAAATTAGATGACATTTTATTATCATTATTTTTAAAAATGTTTTATTTCGCCCGGCGTAGAACTTTCTTAAGTAGTCAGTATAGAAACATTGAAGAAAAAAATCGCATAATATATCAGTGCAAAATTGCTTCAAAGCGATAAGAAATAAAATAAAAGATAAGAAAAAAAACATTCAATAAATGACTATTCATTTGCAAGATCGTCAAGGATGTCTTTTCATGATATACGTACATTTGCTTAAGTTATTTGACTACACTTTATAAAATGCAAATAAAATTAATATGAGCTGATTAGTCAGATGTTATGTAAACAAATATAAGCATATGATGTGGCGTTAAGTATTGTTAGTCTAGTGTAGGTAGGAAACGAAAATACTTACGAAGAAGTACTGGCTTCATTTTTTACTAAAAATGAAAATGAAATATTCATCAGTCTACATCTGCAGCCACAGACACAGTTTTATGATAAGTTCATTTTAATGTTTACAATTTCTGCCCACCCACACCCATAACCCCCTTTCCCGCCAAAAAGATATATTACAGCGTAATTAAAACACAAACTCGTTAAAGTTTGCTTTATATTAACTGCAGCTGTTTATCCCTTATATGCACTCTAAGACAAATCCTACCAATTAAAAAAAATCGTAAAATATGTTCTTGCTTATGCTCTCAAAGTAAATTAGCTTTTAAAATTTATTTTTCAAGTAAATTATTTTTTTCGTAAAAAGATATCTACACAAAAACTTCACAAACATTACTGAAAAATATTTCAATGTGACAATAATTTCGTTCGAAAGGTTTGTAAAAAAAAATTACTAAAATTTTCCATATCAATATTGAATTATGAGATGTTATATGAATTATATGTAATTATTAGAAGTTTTTGACAGGATTAGAAATAGCGGTAAAATAAAGTAAACATCATACACTACACGTTAAGTATAAAAACCAGAAGTCTCTGTCGAGAATGAAGCTCTACTGGTTTGTACTTATAACAAAGGAAGAGAAAAGTATTTGAACGTTTGGGAATCGAAACTCTACAACAGCAATAAATAGAACAATGATCCTTGATAGTCTTTTTATGTTCTTAGTGTAGTCTACTTGCATGCCACATTATATTATAATCAGACTAAATCTGTATTTAAAGTAGCATTTTGAGAGTATATTTAACAGAAACTTTTATTTTTAGTAACCAAATCAATAAAGTTCATCAAATTCAAAACACGATATACAGAATTGTGTATTTAAGGGTAGTCTACTTGTGTGCAAAATTATATTGAAATCAGACCAAAATTGTAGGAGTAGCATTTTGAAAAATGTCACATAAATTTCTATTTTTAGAAACCACGGCAACACCATTTATTGAAATCAAAAACCGATACACAGAATTATGTGTCTTAGTGTAGTCTACCTGTGTGCCAAGTTATATTGAAATCAGACCAAAACTGTAGGAGGAGTAGCATTTTAAAAGATTTTCATAGAAATTTCTATTTTTAGTAACCACGGCAACACCGTTCATCGGAATCAAAAACCGATAAATAGAATTATGTATTTTAGTGTAGTCTACTTGTGTGCCAAATTATATTGAAATCAGACCAAAACTTTAGGAGGAGTAGCATTTGAAAAATTGCTTACATAGAGACAGACAGATGGAGAGACGGGCGGACGCCGGACGCATTACTATCGCATAAGCTTTTCTGGTCTCTGACCAGTAGAGCTAAAAATAAACTAGGTTAATTTTAACCAGTCGGCCGTTTTGTTTTCCATAACCAACTTTTCTTATTTTTTCGCTATCACCTGTTTATATGGTGTTTACGTCTCCCAAACTACAGAATAGCCGGTGTAAAGATGAATGAAGAGCCCCATAGAATAATGACCGGGGGTCTTTTTCTGATGGCGAAAAATGACTCCCGGTCATTATTCTACGGGGAAAAATGACGCCAGTCATTATTCGACGTCGAATAATGACCCTTTTGCTAGTAGAAAAACATCACCCCACAATTTGCATACCCCACTTGAAGGAAAAAGACCCCCATAGAACAATGACCCCCTTGTTGATTTTTAAAATTTTTGGGGGACTAAAATGGAGAGATCTATTGACCAAGATGCTCACTTGAGCTAAATTGGGAATAAATTGATGATAGTTGATATCATTAAAATATACAATTATTGCTATTTTAAGGTCAATACGATGATTCATAATCTAAAGGAGTAAAAGATTTAAAGATATGTATGCCGTGTTAAACAGTTTTTTTGCACAGCTTAAACCGAACAAAAATTTCTGAAGTATGATAAGCTATCAAAAATGAAGCATTCTTGCAAATATGACGAAATATTATTCGGTATCAACAAAGTACTTGTCGGGAAAAGAAAACGATATTCTCATGCATATTTATAAAGGACTGACGTTTATCCTGGATCTACGCATGTGCGCGGGAAAAGCATCGCGAGAATCATCAGGTCAAGGAAAAAATTTTTGTGACGTCTCTTCAGTGAGAAACCAATATGACTAACAAATCGACCAATCAGCTCAATGAGTTGCATTTAATGCATTTATGGGTAACTACATAAAATACTACATGTGTTTTTCGAAAAAGCCAGTTTTTTAAATCGCTCTCGGAAAGACGTGATGCATTTTCCCAAGCATTTTACACTTTAAATACAATATGTACATTATTATCTACTAATTCCATGCTCAGATTTGCATACAAAAGATTAACAATGATAAAGATTAAAGTTTCCCCACTCCATTGTACAGGTCCGTTTGTTTAGAGTTTCCCCATGCTGTACTGCTAGTGACAAGACAATTGCACGTTATTATTCCTCGGTACAAAAAGCAACCAACTCTGAGGTGTGCTCACGTATTGACAATCCCTAACTCACGTGTTTGTAGTAAAAACGTAGTAGACATCATGCTTTTCGGTTCATTCACGAGATTGGACCATTGTTTGCTGTGAGCATGCGAGACCACGTGATCATGAATATTTCAACAAGAGGCGTTTATTATCCGACTCGGAGAGAAAATAATTTTTACCAAATAATACTTCATAACTTTTAAAAGTGATGGAGTGGAATTGTCTTATTTGCAGAAAGTATATAATTTATATAACTTGATGAGACACCGCACATATTTATTTCTTTTGAAATAAAACACTAATACGGCATATATATCTTTAAAGAGCCTAAATGGCCAGATGAACATTGTTTTTCGATGGTGGAGAATCATAGTATTGACAGAAAAATAAAGGAATATTATATATAACTAATATTATATGTTTTATATATAGTGATTTGGATGTACGTCCGTCTGTCATGTTTTGAGTTACCAATCTCTTATCAACAACTCCGCTGATTGAAATTTAATGAGTTTTCACATGCAGAATCTTTGTTACATAGTTCCATTGTGCATCCTCTTCTTAACCTTTTGATCGGACACACATTAATGAAAAAATGTAATGATACATTAACGGATTCTTTATTACGTAATGTAATTGTGCACCTCGTATTTTATTTTATGGTCTGTCGCTCATTTCGTGTTCCTCAAAGCAAAGCATGGACTTTGCTAATATAATTATATGGGGGGTGGGGGGGGGTTATCACTTACTGAGCTCAGTGCTTACAGTACCTCTAGTTTTAATTCTGTTTTATTCCAACTTTTCACACTGTTCTGTGAATATTTTTGAACGATTTTCATTTAAAATTTAATTTCAATTTTGTATGATTTTCTTCATACTGTGTCAAAGCAAAATATGAAAACTTACTTGAAGACTTGTACCCCATAAAGTATCTAAATAACCCATAAAGAGTCAAAACTAGAGGTACTGTGAGCCATGAGCTCACTAGATGATATCCACCCTCGCCCCCCGTATAATGATAATGACAAAATTTATGATTTGCTCTGTGAAACCTAAAATAAGTATCAGATCAAAAAAGTGTTGGTTGTGTTAGAAGGTGCACATGGGGAATTGAGGCGTTATTTTTTCATCGATTCGATGGAATAAATCTTTATTGATAACAAACAAAAAAGTAATGATTAAAACTTTTTAAAATTCATTTTATACTTTGTCCAAATGGTTGTTTTAAGTTTTAATTGGTTTCTCATTTCTCCTTAGATATTCATTCATTTATAGTTTTGAATAAAACTAAGTTATTTGCATGAAGTGCTCCCCAAGATGAACGTTCATAAGGTATAAAATCAAGCGTATTGAGTTTCTGGATATGAATTACCATAATATAACCTAAATTAACTAATTACTTGAGCAAGTTTTTAAGACCAGTTCTCTGTAAAAATCAAACAGATTGAAAAAGGTTGGCCACGACATCTTTAGAAAATATTATTTTGAAAACAAAAGTTATAACAGTTGCAAATGACAACGATTTTTAACTTCTATTTTGATAGAACATCGTCATTCTCACATAACATGAAAAAGATCCATGACAAAGATCAACGATATCAGCATGTTGCACGTACTTTTTGTCAGTATTCAGACATTCTATATTAGTCATTTTTGATACTTGTCGCAACTGTATTCGATTCAAAAATTCTATGATGATACTACCCTAGTTTCATCCTCGCAAGCCAGGGGTCCTGAGTGAACACATTGCCGTTGCTCCAACATGTTCATTGAGGACAACTGACTTGTGAGGATGCTTTTCCTTGTATATACGATTTTGTTAACCTGTGTTTGATCTGAAAATTATACAAAGATATGTACCATGCAAAGTATATGTACATATATTTTTTTTATTTTTCATATGGATTCGCTTTGAAAATTCTTTAAAATGCTAAAATGATATATTTGTACTCGATTTGATGCTTTGCATCAATTTAAACTTTTAAATTGTGAATCACTCTAAAAGGGGTGATTTTTCAACGGGTCTCAATTTTTATATGACTCATATATAAAATGATGACCCCTAGGGCTCTTTTTCTACAGAAATAATGTTTTTTTACTACGGGTGGGGGTCATTTTCTATTGTTGAAAAATAACCCTAGTCGTTATTCGACGGGGGTCATTTTTCGTCTGTACACCGACACAGTAGATCAGTCGGTAGCTCGTTCCGTGATGGAAAACACGCGTGTACGTATCAAAGCCGCGACCGAACTAAGTCGGTAAAAAATATGTATCAACTGCTCCTACACCAAGTGCTTGACACTTTGAAGTGAAAGTTGCGCGTTCTTTGGATAAGACTTAAAAACTGAGACCCCGAATCACGAAAGGCTTTGGCACAATAAAAAAACTTCACTGATTAATGGGCCTGGGTGCTGTTAAAGGTCTAAATTAGAAATCCTTCGCCTGCCTATGTATGTAGTGATATCTCTATAAGAGTAATAAATTCTCGAACAAGACGTTTTTTTAACAACATACATTTACAATCAAGCAATCCCACAACCTATTCCATCCTCAAAAACTTGTTGTCATCCCTGTATTAGAGAGATTTCAGAAAACTCGTTGAAAAGCATTTTTGTAGATTCTATTGTCGTCTTTATGACCTTGCTACAAATATATCATATCATTGGGTCATATTTTGGCTGACATGATCATACCAATTAGGCCTTTGTTTGTGTACTAAATTCAATATTGGGATGTTCGGTCTATCCGATCAATACAAGGATTCAAGGCGGGTTTGACCGTTCAACAGAAAATGCTAACTCCTGCGGGGCGCCTAATCACACCTTGATTTTCCCAGAAATCATGTTTATGCCCTTTTCATCGTTTTTATTACTTATAGATTTTTATTTAAATATTAAATCAATGTGTTTTATCTTATCTCTTCAATTTTATGATGACCGTATTACAATATAATACTGGTATTATCTTTATTAACATATAAAGTTTAGTGTTGATCATTTACCTCTTTTCTTCGCTCTGCAAAATGTAAAAACGCCTGATAGGAGAATAATGATACCAGCAGTCATCACACTAGCTGAGGCATAGAGCATAATGTTTGGTTCATCAGTAGGACATCCATTATCCAATTGATCTGATTGCTCCAAAGTAACATTTGTATAATCTGTAATACAAATTCATCTTAATGAATAAAAAAATTGCATGTATAATAAGTCACAAAATGTGAATCATTTGATTAAAAAAATGTTTTATAATAGTTCCCTGGTTGATTGGCAACTAAGATGTTTGAAATATTTTAATGTTTCCAAAATCAGAATGAAAGACAATTAATAAAAGTAAAAATAAATGTTATTTTGTACCATGTACTGAATTTTTAAATTTTGAAACATAGAAACAGCGAAATTCTTACTTTGAAGTACATTTCGCGCTTTGATTGGTTCTGAGTTTAAAAGAACCGTGCCTTTTAATGTGCCTGATCCACAGGTTTTGGAATAGTTAGTTTCACAGATAATTTCCACATTTTCATCACTTTTCAGTAACTGATAAAGAACACTGCTTTTAATTGTCTTTTCGGTTGATCTATTAAATATTTCAATCTTTTGATCTTCTTGAAGTGGAAGAGGGACATACTGCATGTTCTTTTCTTTTCTGATGCACCACTGAATGTTCTGTAACAAATAGCAATATCTAAACTTAGAATAATAAATAACTATGCTTGTTAATGGCCAAATGTACAGACTTATTGACAAGACTATGGTAAAACCCCTTTTCTGAATGAATTAAATGATCACAAAACAATTACGTATTGTTTTTGTATTGTTAGATCTTTCATTATAGTTTTCATATATACACTGTTTGTATAAACAAATACATGTTATTATAAAATTCAATCTAAAAATGTAATTGCAATATTACAATATCTTGTTTTAAAAGATTTTTACCATCTCTTACTATTTGCATCAACTAAGAGTTTAAAATGTATGAAAAATAAATACATATATGAAATTTAAGGTCATAGAAGATGCAACAGTATCGATATTTTTTGGTAAAGAAACTACAATATTTCGCCCTATAGTTGTTTTTTTTTATTCTTTTGATATCTGACTTGATTCATTTAGTGATGTCAAGTTTACCTCTGTTGAGTTAAGGATATCAGTTGTAGTCTTGCATGTCAAAGATTGGAGTGATCTATCCTCCAACTCATCTGTTATAACAACCACAGGACCCAGGATTTGGTTTCTCTCTTGCCAGAAGAAAGAAATACAAGCTAATTCAGAGAAAGAAGAGCGGATCTAGAGGGGACCAAAGGTGGTCGAGGGACACTTTGAGAATGTTGGGCAGGGCCATAGGGAGTCATGTCATTTTTATTGCAAATGCTCAAAACCCTCAGTCTTGACATATTGCTAAGGTATGAACGTTTTACACACAGGTAGAATGTATAATTTGACGACATTGGCCTATGACCTTTTGACTCAAAATAAAAAAAAATATATAGATGTCAACTACGTGAGCACATGTACTTGATAGAGAAGTAAGGTACGAGGGTTGATCCAAAAGTAATGTCACAACTTTGAAAAAATTGCTGCTAGATAACGTAAAACAATAAAACTATAAATGATGGAAGCTATGTTTATTTCAAAGCAGACCTGAAAATTTCAATTCAGTATGATTTATACTTTTCAAAATATAGGATTATGCACAACGTTCGATTATGGTAGTCGCCGCACCAAATAACGTCATATGACGGGTACGCAAGGTCATAGACTTCAAAAGCTTCACTAAAAATATTTGAGATTCACGAACACGTTCACAAATTTGACTTTTTGGTACCCATCGTACACTCACTATTTTCATAATTAAGTCAAAATTCTTTGAACAGTAGCATAAGACAAACTTAAAATTTCACATATCGCTCTAATCGTCTGTCTTTTTTGCAATTGACAACGTCAGACAACATTGAACTTTTCCGACCAATCTCCCATCTTTCGGTCTTCTTGTCCTCTGCTGATCATTCGATGACCCATCACCCTCCCAAAATTACTGAAACCATCTAAAAACAAGTCTCAAATTTACATCCTTTCTTCTGTGAGTCTGATGTTTCAACGTAGCTGTCTCTACTGGTGATTTCTCCATTTTGAAGTAAAGCTGCATTACAGCTCGTCGCTACGAAAGCCCAGAAGGCTCATTCGAGATTCAAGGTTCGAAATACGAGATTCGAAATTCAAGTCTCGAGATTCAAGATCCAGATTAACCAATCAAAAGCTCTCAAAAGGCTCATTCGAGATTCAAAGTTCGAAATACGGGATTCGAAATTCGAATTTCGAGATTCAAGATCCAGATTAACCCATCAAAAGCGGGTTCAAGATTTGATTACTCCCCTTTATTATGATTTTACTATCAAGAAATCGTTCAATATATAAATAACAAATAAGTCATTTCATAAAATTACAATGCAAGAAAGAGTGTTATTTATATAAGAAGGAAATTTAAATAATCATTGGATTTTGATCAGCAAGATATACTTCAATTTATATTATGGCTTCTTAAATATTAAATAGAATACATATATCAGGAATATATATATTTTTGTATTGTCTACTTTGTTGACGGGGCTGATGACATATGAATAAAGTTACGAATACGTGGCAAGTGTGTCAAGGTTAACAATAACCCCATCCCTACCCACCTCGTCTGCCCATTTTTCCAAACACACTGAAAGGCTTGAAACTTGAAAGACGACGGAGTATTGATAAAGAAAAATCGCCATCGTTTTCCTGATAGAGGAAATGCATAGAAATTATGTATTTAATTACTTATCTTCATCTAAGACTTTGATTTCTTGAATTAATTAAAAATTATATCTACAATACAGCTTGGCGATCTGAATTAAAATAAATGCGGCATTTATTTTATCTATAAATATCAAATAGTAGATGAGTCTAAATTAGATGCAAAAATATATATAGCGTTATGGTGTTATATTTTAGTCTCTGACCATAGCTTTATTGCCAAAGACTAAAGTATACTCTTATAAAACCTTATATAACGCTACAGTTCGATTCAGCAGTCAAGTCTCACAGCACAAATGTACCCTTTAAAAATGTAATGAAATATATACCTTTAAATTATTCTGCAGTGTAGATACGATTCATAATATTTAATATCTAATTATAATTAAATGCAACATTCTCCATCAACAATGATCTGATGAAATAAAATTAGCAAGTCAGTTAGCGATAAGACCATATAATATTCCATATATACGTATTTACTATTTTGTTAAATTAGAAAAATAAGATTTTATATGTATTTTTCAAAATGAAATCCAAATTTTATTTTTATTTCGTTTTAATACATGAAACATTTTTTCTTGCATTATCATTTTAGCAAATGATCTATTTGTTATAAATATATTCAACGATTTCTTGATAGTAAAAACGTAACAAAGGGAACTGATCAAAAGTTGAACCCGCTTTTGATTGGTTAGTTTGGATCTTGAATTTCGAAACTCGAACTTTGAATCTCGAATTTTGAATCTCGAATTTTGAATCTCGTATTTCGAAACTTGAATCTCGAATGAGCCTTCTGGGCTTTCGTACGTCGCGGCGTTTTTTTCCCATTTCGACAAGTCCTTTGGTCAATGCATCAGAGTATTAAGCAACAATGTTTATGATCAAAATTATAAATGACCTCATTTAATTTTCAACTAAAGACTCAAGGAGTACATAAATTTTGTTCTTTTCAAATATTGGGCAATAAGCCGCTTTTTATGATTCTTTTTAATGTGTTTGTCTTGTTCATTTTAAGAAAATACACATTAAAACGTGACGTTCCAATGTGACGCGGCGACACCCCCTATGTTCTAGGTTTTTAACATCTATAAAATAAATTCAATTGAACATTATCAAATGAAAATTTCAATATTAATTAGATTTATATGTGTGCATCTTTGGTATATTATATTTGAAAATATGACCCCAAATATAAAAGATATGGACACTGTGACATTACTTTTGGACCAACCCTCGTATTTTTGAAATCTATACTTTTTGCAATTTAGGTAAGAATTTCGAAGATTTAATCCAGCACCAAACGCGACATTTAATTTTGAAATGAGATTTTTAAAGCAACATATTTCAAAATAAAACTTGGATTCCCTTTTGTGAATCCATTCTATTCATGGGGGTATGATTTAAACAATTTAAATTCTACACTAACCATAGATGCTTCCTTGTAACTTTAACTCTATTTGCCCAGTGGTTATTGAGAAGAAGATTTTTGAATGACTTCTTCCTATTTTTGTCTTTTCTCAATAATCTCCCCTCGGAAGAAGACACGGACCTTCATTTTAACAATTCAAATTTCCGTTAACCCAAAAATGCTTTGTACTGACATTACTTAAAATTGGTCCGATTGTTCTTGAGAAAAGGACGAAATCGTGAAAAATTTACAGACGGACAGACAAAGTACAAAAGGTTATCAGGAAAGCTAACTTTAGCTTTCAGCTAAGGTGACCTAAAACAATTAATCAGTCAAATTTATTCAATAACTTAATTTTATCGAATGTGTAAGAAACAAGAGGCCCACGGGCCTTATAGGTCACCTGAGCATTATGCAACAACTTTCCAGTTATTATATTTGATTCCTGTTTTAAGCCAGATGCTATATGGCATTCACAATTTTGAAAGAGGCACCATTGATCATCATAACAATAGACTTAGCAGTTGCTTAGCTTGGTTACTGAATACCCGTACGCAGGGTAGGGGAACAAAAATGCATTCCAACTAATCAGTAATATTCAGCAATAATCAGTAGTGCCCCTAACACTGTGACATAAACCCCTGACCCTAGGTCCACATATTACACAAATTTTAAAAAGGCACCCTTAAAATTGCCTATCAAAAAATAAATAAATGTTTTATAAATACAAAGGAGCAGATTTCAAACAATTAATTCATTTTCAGTATATAAGTCTCAGAGCCCCCCACCCCCCATCCTTGACCCTGGGGCCTTGAAATTCACAATTCTGCAAGATTAGGGCCCTTGCTCATCATAACTATATAGGTAGTACATCTGCTTCATACCCAGAGACAGAGAAGAAAATTTTCAAAGAATTCATGTATTTTCAATATATAATCAAACGAGCCCTGCCCTAACACCAGAACCCCTGACCCTGGGACCATAAAATTCACAATTTTGGTTGAGGCACGCTTGCTCATCATAACTATGCACTTATTTAATTTATTCAATACCTAGGAGCAGAGAAGAAGATTTTCAGAGAATTCATGTATTTTCAATATATAATCAAACGAGCCCTGCCCTAACACCAGAACCCCTGACCCTGGGACCATAAAATTCACAATTTTGGTTGAGACACTCTTGCTCATCATAACTATGCACTTATTTAATTTATTCAATACCTAGGAGCAGAGAAAAAGATTTTCAAAGAATTCATGTATTTTCACTATATAATCAATGGAGCCCCCCCCCCCCTCTCCCCAATACCAGAACCCTTGACCCTGGGGCAATAAAATTCACAATTTTGGTAGAGGCACTCTTGCTCATCATAACTATGCACTTAGTTAGTTTATTTAATACCTAGGGGCAGAGAAGAAGATTTTCAAAGAAATCATGTATTTTCACTATATATAATCAATAGAGCCCCACCCTAACACCAGAACCCCTGACCCTGGGGCCATAAAATTCACAATTTTGGTAGAGGCACTCTTGCTTATCACAAGTATGTACTTGGTTGGTTTATTTAATACCCAGGAGTAGAGAAAAAGATTTTCAAAGAAATAATGCATTTTTACTATATACTTATTTAGCCCCGCCCTAGCACTAGAACCCCTGACCCCAGGGCCATGAATTTCACAATTTCTGTAGAGGACTTAATGCTGATTACAATCATGCAAACAGTTTGACTGCTTGATGTCCAGGAGTAAAGAAGAAGATTTTTAAAGATTGCATTAATTTTAGTGGTTTTGGCCCCACCCCTCAGGCCCCAGGGGGGGCAGGGATCATGAAATTCACAATTTTTGTTCCCCTTCACCAATAGATGCTTTGTGCCAAATTTGGTTGAAATTGGTTCAGTGGTTGCAGAGAAGAAGCTGAAAATGTTCAAATGTTAACACACGATGGACGACGGACGACGCACGACGACGGACGAAAACGGATAGCAAAATATTACTGACAACGTACCCTTTGATAAAAGAGATTTTTTTCCAGGAATTAAAAATACAATTTAAAAAAATTGAAAATCTATTTTCTCAGGGCAGGTTATCACATGTATTCTAACTTTTTAAAACCCTGATTCAAATTTAAATAATCTTTCTAAAATGTATCAAAGGATACTTAGTGGCAAGTTTTATTGATAAATGCCGAACGTGTTCTATGTGGAAGAATTCAGAAATCTGAAAACTTAACGGACCGATATACGAACAAAAAGTAATAGGTAAAATCATTTGGACTTTCAGCTTAGGCAAGCTTATGAGAGTAGAGTCAATAATTTATATTGTCTTATTATATGAAGCACACTCACCTATGTGAAGTGTTAAGATAATCTGTATTCAACAATGAATGGCGATAATTTAATTTAGGATCTCTTAAATAATATTGAAAATGTAAAATCAGTCTACTTAATATCATGCACACATGTAGAACAATCTAAATCGGCAGGTTTCAATGTCATGTGTCTTACATATTATATACAAAAATACATGTAGCGTTGTAAATGTTCTATTACCTGGTATTGTTTTTATATTTATAGATTTCCGAATTGTTCTCCTAAACGATCCCCAATAAATAGTTTGACAATTTATTTCTGTGTCCAATTGTTCATCTTTCAAGTACAGGAAGGCAGATACTGTTTGGTCGGTTTTGCATCCATCATCTAAAATACTGGTTGTTCTTATTGTAGGTGGATCTTGCATTTTCATTAAACCATTCTTCCACCTAAATTTTAAATTCTACAACCACGACAAAAAAAATTTAGAGAAAAAATTTATCTAGTTTTCAAATATCAATGCTAATGATAATTAAGATCTTTAAAAATGTACTGAATATAATGATGCCTTCAAGTGCTCATCATTTTATTTTGAAAAATTCTTTACTCTAGTATCGGACATCACCCTAGGCATTTTGATACGTCAAATCATAAATCTATGAATAGATGTCGGATCCTATTCTCCGACAATGTAACTCGTGATGATATTACAAAGATTGTCAGAGATAATCCGAAATCCACCTTATGGATAGCTGGAGATGCCAAATTACCGGACATAGACTGGGATAAGGAAACCACTGAACCACAGTCCCTGGTATAAGTGACCCGTAAGCTAGAGCAAAAGCAAAAAATAAAAGACCAGTAAAAAGGAAGATCTACTATGGAAAAAGGGAAAACTTAAAGAACTACACTACGATATGCAGAATTTTTCAACCGAATATACGTCCAGACATATTACCAAAACATACATCCACACATTATGGAGATCGCCAGCTTAATGCACTCTCACATACCATCTAGGTGGACGCTTCCATATATGGATAAACAGAGACACAACGAACTTATCCAGAAAGAAAAAGGATGACTTATAAAAAGGCAAAGAAAACAGGGAAAACGAATACAGAGACTCAAGATTGAAACTCAGACCACCTGCACAAATGATAAAACAAGTACATATCAAACATGCTTGAGGAGGATAACACCACCAATTCTAAGAAATTTTGGAGTTTTATTACAAGAAAAAGAACCGAGAACGTAGGAATATCACCACTGCGCAAAGAGGAAATGCTTCATTGTGATTCAATGAGCAAGACAAACATCTTGAATGACCAGTTTGTTTGAATTTTACCTATGAGGACATGAACAACCTTCCAGATCTAGGAGAGAGTCCTTATCCAGACCTGCAACAACATTTCGTCCTGATTGTGTGAAAAAAAAAGAACATCAATCCTCACGAAGCAACAGGTCCACACAGCATCCCAGGTCATCTTCTTAAGGAGGTCGCACACGAGGTCACACCTATATTCACCCTCATATTTTGTGCAACGCTGCAACAGGGTAAAATATCTGACGAGTGGAAAGAAGTTACAGTGACTCCACTCTTTTAGAAATGTGAAAGAGGGAAAGAGGGAAAGCCGCAAACTACCTCCTGTTTCCCTTACCTCCATTACTTGTAAGATAATGGAAAATATACTGCATAACACCATTATCACTCATCTAGAAGATCAAGAGATATTATCTGATCACCAACATGGATTCCTGAGACAAAGGTCATGCGAAAGTCAGTTGGTATTCACCTTACAGGACCTATCAGACAGTCTAAATTCAGAAGACCAGATTTATTGCTCCCTACTTAATTTTTCTAATGTTTTTGACAAAGTCCCACACCAACGACTACTCCAGAAATACTACCTCCACGGAATACGGGCTAATACTCTTCAATGGATTGCGAGTTTTCTCCAGGACAGAATGCAAGAAGTGGTATATGATCATGAGGGAGCCAGATCAGGGAAGTCACCGGTCACGTCGGGTTTGCGTCAAGGGACTGTGCTCGTACCTCTTCTATTCCTCATATACATCAACGACACGCCCAGCATGGTATCATCTAGCACTCGATTGTTTGCAGACGACTTTCTCCTCTCCTCTATAGGACAATAAAATCGCCTGATGACTCTAGGATCCTCCAAAACACCTGAACAGTCAGCAACAGTGGGAGGAGAACTGGCAACTGAGATTCAACGCTGACAAGTGCGAAGTCTTGCAGGTTACAAATTAAACAGGAGAAAGCAAATCATATCAACATACACTATTCACAAAGTACCACTTACCACCATAAAAACAACCCAATACCTCGGCCTTAACATCAGCAACAACTTGAACTTGACCCCACATATCGACAGTGTGGCTAAGAAAGCAAATAACACCAGTGCTTTTTTTCGACGTAACATCAGCACCTGCCCAAAGAAGATCAAGGAGCATTGCTATAGAACTATGGTTTGGTCCATAACAGAGTATGCCTGCATAGTATGGGACCCAGTCACACAGAAGGACATCAGCAAGATCGAGATGGTCCAGAGAATAGCCACCAGTTTTGTCTACGAAGACTACAGAACCACCAGTAGCATTACAACAATGATTCGAGATCTCCAGTGGAATACTCTCCAATACCTTAGACAAGTGCTTTAAGTTACAAATATAACCTGTATGCTTTACAGTATCATCAATGGATTAGTGGCTATTCCAACACAGTCATACTTAACTCCAATACAATCAGCACCATGAATAAGAGGACACAGTCTCTGATACCAAATTCCATACTCCAGAGTGCAGTATCACATACAATCCTTCTTCTCTTCCTCAATCCAATTATGGAAAAACCTCCCAGTCACCGTTGTTCATGCTCCAACTTTGGTGGGATTTAAAGAGCAGCTGCACCAACTCAACCCATATACAATCTCGAATATTGCTGTGCTTTAACTGTACATATGACCTTATTTTTATTTTGTGAATATTTGATTGTAACGGCACGCTTCTGCTGGGCATGCAAGGAAGTAAAAGTCTGCGATAATACTCCAGAGAAGTTTGCAGTTATTTGGAAGAAGAAGAAGAAAAGATATATACGATGCAAAATTTACATTATGATAACTAATCATTGTATCGTTATTCCCAACATAATAGGTAAACATTGGATTGTTATTTATAACACGATAACTAAACATTGGATCGTTTCTTACAACGAAATAAATTAAATTTTACCCAATTATATAGTGTTTACCCAATGAAGATTTGTTGTAAATTGATGGTTGATAACTAATCTTTAATAAAATTTGGACTGTAATTTACAACATGATAAAGAACCATTGGATCGTTATTTACAACGTGGTAACTGATCGTCACCATCGTGGCGCAGTGGTTAGAGCGTCTGTTCTAGAATCGCGAGGTAAGGGGTTGATCCTTACAGTATACGTCGCGGGTTTGAATTCCACTGTAGGATGTGGAGACCAGTCCTTCAGATGAGATCGTATAAAACGAGGTTCTGTGTCACAAGAAAAAAAAATTCCCAGCTCAATGGCCCTGAGTGCCGAGGAAAGGACAAAATTTGAAGCTCTCCATCTGCAGGTGTTGGCGTCTCTATTTGAGTAAAAAAATTCTCGATAGGGACGTTAAACAATAAAGAATCTTGATCTTGATAACTAATCTACTACTTGATAACTGATAATTGGATTGTAATTTACAACATGATAACTAATCTCTGGATCGTTATTTATAACTTAATTACTAATCATTGGATCGTAATTTACAACGTGATAACTAATCTTTGGATCATTATTAACAACATTTGATAACTTACCATTCTTTCGTAATTTACAAGTGAACATGATATCTAATCATTGGATCGCTATTATCATCATGAAAACTAATCATTGGATTGTTATTTACAACGTGACAATTAATCATGTTGTAAATGTTGCATTTACCTCTACCTATATAGTAAATCAAAACTCTTGATACCCAAAAGAAAATGTTGAAAATGAAGTCTGCAGTTCCTCTTTTAATAATGAAAGTAAATCTCCTAAAACTAGCAACACTTTTACTAATCACAAACCTCTGACCCAACGAAGATAAGTACTTTTACAGTATAGATCTATGATAATTAACGTATTTGTATTTCTTACCTCATAAACTTTCCTATTTACAACTGAAACTTCTCCACTGCAAACCAACTCGACTAAACTTCCCGGTGGGAAAATTTGTGTGTAATTGTCATTACTCACATTTTTGTAGTGAACGTGAAAAGCTTTAATGGATGGTCTGCCTACATGACAAAAAAATCAATTGTCATTTATGAGAGAGAGATGTTTGTATTATAGGATTAATTTTAGCACTGAAGTTTTGGCAAAGATATGATAATTAGATCATGATTTAAACTAATTTAATAAATATATACAAATATACGTATTCTTACTGGTAATACTGATGTTCCTTGTTATTTTTATAATCTCCGTCTTATTTCTTACAATTGAACATGCTATAGTCACTTCTCTACATCCCTCGTCGATTAGATGGGCAGAGCATCTGTAACCGTCACTTGCGCATGACACTAGTTCCACGAGTGTTCCGTTTCTCAAATATTGTTGGATAACAATATCAGCATTATCCTTTGGCTTGACAATGACGCCCCAAATTTGTAAACTTCCACTGCATTTTATTGTATCTCCAGGGTAATAAACTCTTCGATCATCACTGAAGTACACTGCAATCGAAAAAAAAGATTAACGGTACTTAAATCAATTCTATATATCTACTGAAAAATACATTATATTTGAAGGAAAGCTTGATTTTATAGATTACATTCCCAGTATTGTCCATGAACTTCTAACAGAACTAGCGCGAAGGTTAGAGCAATGACCGCCATCCGAGGCATAGCTGACATAACAAATGATCTAACTGAACAAGGAAGTGGTTATTTTATTTTAATAGGAATTCTTGTCAGGTTTCTGACTAGATGAACTATTTAAAGTACAATTCCTTATATATCTTATATTTTTAATGTAAGATTTACAATATAATTTTTTTCTTTCCTGATCACAGTTGTACGTGTACAATGTATAACTTTAAATAGAAATTAATTTGAACTTGAAATCTAGCATAAACTACATTTCTGGCAGAATGGCAACGTATGAAAATATCTTCTCTGCTTCTCAAAATTATTTTAGAACAATGGATTTAGTTATATTTTTAAAACAATCCATGACTTGAAGAAATTTTCAAATGCAAGCTTAAATTAATAGCGGACTAAATTTTTAATATACTCAGCAGATCAAATGGAAAGGATTTTCCTAAAGATCAAAGAAATTTGAGCAAAAATCCGCAAAAATTAAGTTATTATTTCTTCTTCTCTTAGTAAGCAATCTACACGTTTTGTTTTTATAAAACCTCGTATCCTTATGTGACATCTTAACA